CAGGGTTGGTAGTGGTTTGGATGCTACTGCTCAAGCCTTCCCGTTTGCTTACTCCGCTCTTACTCTATTTCATCCTTATCGTCCTATTCCAACTTAACTTTCATCCCCCTGTTTTCAACCCCCCATTCCTTAGCCCACCCGCAGCTTGTTTTGCTAGGCGTTTATCTACTAGTTTCAACTCACACGCAAACACTGAGCCTCACTCCTGCACTGTCAACAGGATCAGTTCATCGGCTTGTATTTGGAGCCCTCGATTCTTGCGGCACAATGGCTGAGCTGTTCGCAAGTCGAACTAAAGTGCAGAGTTATGCTGACGATGATGGTGCTTACTGCGTACCACACCACATAAGGCGCTGATTCAAGTGCTAGGCATGTCGCACTAACCGCAACGTGGAGTATGAGAGACAGGCACAGGAGTGGGGGAGGCAGTTTGATGACTTAGTCAAGAGGAATAAATACCCTCCCTTCGAACTTCGCATTGGATGAGTCTACCGACTGCCGGGCTGGATTTCGAGGGACAATGAACATGTTTGTTTAGATACACTTGTCCACAAGCAAAAGAGTCAACCGCAGTGGCGTTTGTGTTGTAAGTTTCCACTCCCGTTCGCGCCCCCCGGCTTATCTTCTCCCTCCCACCTCGATTTCACTCCCGAAGCGTAGTATACTACTGGGCATTATATCACTTGTCTTTTGGTTTTTATTTTGTATTCTATAATTCTTTGTATCCCGCTTTTTTAAATATCACATATCTCTTACTGTTATACAAAAATTGAGATGGTTCGAGTCTCTGGCTAATATGTACTTATGGGGATTCCAAAGAAACGTGATTCAGTCAACATAGCCACTGTTTCTTTTCCAGCATGGGAGTCTGAAAGGGTACTGTTTAAGATTACTGAACGGATGAAAAGACTGTCTAGCACGTTTCGGTTGTGTGATGCCCATTGGTGCTGCCTGACGATTTGGCGGTACCGATTTCATAAGTTCAGAGTCATAAGCACAAGCTTCCATTCTCCGCAATAATTTAGCGCTTTATTGACTTTAGGCTGTGCACCTGGGAGCTGTAAAGCGTAGCAAATGTCCCCAAACCTTAGGCATGCTCAAATAACTCATATATTATTTTGTGAATGGTTCTTCACTAATTCAGCCCCTCTAACGCACGCATTTGCAGCCTGCAGCGGAGTAGAGATAAATGCCTGTCGAGTTGCTGTTAAAAAATGAAAATTTACATGCGCAGATTAAGTCGCCTTTCGGAACACGTATTAGTTCCTATGTTTCGCGAGAAGTGTTCGGAGTTCATCTTTAAGTCTACACTATGTGGATTACGGGGGCCGAGTTGTAACTAGCAAGGCTGCAGCGACACAGCACAGTAACCGCATACGCCAAAGCATTGCTTCTCGGTGGTAAACCAGTTCTGTCGTTTTCTTTATCTATTTTCATTCTGTTTTGTTTTTTAGGCATAAATATTTACTACTCATGAGTGGAGGGATTTGGCGAGATTTTTGCTTTGTCCATCACAATTAGATTACAATCCAAATGAGCCATCTACCAGTCCGGGAAAGCATCAGGTTGCCGTTTCGTCCTGTTGGGACTCTGCAGTGATGCGCGTCAATATTACTATGTCGAGAGCGTTGGATAGAGTCAGATATTTAGTATAAATTTTCTTAACGGAAGCTCAACTCCAGCTTGATTCGTATGCTTCATGGTGTTGACGGACGCCATGGAGAATATTTTTGCAATGCCATATTAACTGCATAAAGTTGTTTATCGGTGCTAACAAGGTATTTGTCAAGAACCCCTTAAAGGCCTTTACAAAAGCCTTGATGTTTAACAGTACGAAGTTGTTTCTCATGCATCTAAGCATACATTTTGTAACACGAAAAATAATACCCAGGATTTCTTTATCGACATACTTCGGTAAATCGTACCCCCGCGCTGTTTTTGTCAAATAATTTTGTTTAGCATAATCACCTACCTCAAGGACGATCTATGTCACACTATAAGGACGTATTCAATTATATTTAATCTAGTACATTATTTGATAGTATAAGTATACATGGCCATTTTCCAGTGTACTGGCTTCAGTGCTTTGTGACGCAACAATTTATAAAAGCACATTAAATACTGCGGTTCTTATGTGTTCAAGGGAATGGATCCTTGCTCGGAGAAATTGTAGGTAAGGTTTCTGTACGGGAGTTATAACACCGTAGCAAACCTTCGGCTTGGGACAAAAGATAACCGGAAAGTTCTTCTAGAATTTCCCCTTTTCTTGTGCCGTCCAGTGGTACACAAAGCTGACCTGCTAGGTGAACCCCGTAGTTAACATCCGGCAATCGTACAACCAGCCTCAGATGTCCTCTACAATCTGCACAATGGCTCCAGTTACTGTAACGAAGACTGGGAACTCAATCTCGATGCGGGTGGCTGGGTAGAAAACAGATAGGAAATCGGCAAGCCAGTTCGATCTTCACTAAAAGGTCACGCTGGATGTAAGTTCATCGTGATGTCTGACAGAGTGTGCGCCACACTCACTTGATAATGACGGCCAGACGTTTAGTTGCTTAATCAATACTGGTATTGTGTGGTGTGGCGCAACTAGTCTTGCTGTTGTCTCGTAGGATGGGGCTTCAATAAATGCATCAGCTGACGTTATAAGTAGTGAAAGTGTTAGGAAATGAAGCACACACTTTCAACTAAGGAGTTTACGATATATTGCTGACAAAGTGGTTGATACTGCATCGAGTACATCAAGCATAGAGATTATTGTATTCTACTCAGGCAACCTAGGTAACGTGGGTATTTATTTGGCAGACGTGCATCAGTCGAATAACCTTAAAAATGGAACAAGATGGAATGAGTTTATTTAATGTGTTAGCTTCGGTATAACACCAGGCAACATGCCAAATTAGAAGACCGTCTTCTAAGCAAATGTCGGTGAGGGGATCTTGTTGTTTTATGTGTTAGAGACAATTAGTAGTGTTTAGAAAATTTAACTAAAGATGGTGCTACCAAAACTGGCTGCAGCATACGACAAATTGTTCTTCTATTGCGAATTACGATTGCAAGAAAGTGTATTTATACCTATCCTATAGTATGAATCAACTTAGACCTGATGTGAGCATTGACACTGGTGTCATTGGGGAATTGAAATCAAATGGCTATATGGGCTAGAGTTTACTAAACCGATCCAGAAGTAATCTTCCCTGTCCTGTCACGGAGAAAACGGTCATAGAGCGGGCCGGGCTCCTCCAGGACATGTAAAACCGGCCTCACCTTGGTTACATCAGCTTTATTGGGAACAACTTGTGTATTCAAATTAGGCCGAAACTTCTTGGTGTGGACCTCGGTCAGTTCGAGCAATCAGACCGCATCTGGAAAGGACAGATACTGGACGTTGGGTTCTTCGGACAACACAAGCGATTCCGTCCCTGTTTGATGTCCCCAGGTAGAGCTGACCAAATTTTCATTCCCAGCGGTAAGTACAGAATACCGGCAGATACCTTTATCACCCCCATCCCACATCACCGAAGAAAGAAGAAAGCCTTTGGGAATTACCTTACTTTGAGTTAAGTAAGACTACAGAAGTCTTCATCTGATCAAAAGCCGACTTATGACAACGCTTGGTGTTCAACAAATACGTGCAAAATGCAGAAAGATGAGGATGCAAAGTTACTCCATTTTTGTTCGCCCTCCTAATTCAATAATTTGTTGCTTTAATTGATTTAAGCATCATTTTGTAGTTTTGATTTTGTGAATAGATTGCACTCTGCAATCTAAATGTGAAAGGTGATTCCCATTGAAGTGAGCCTTGGTCAATTCGAACCCTTTCACATTAAATGATGTGGCAGCTGGATGTTGTGCTCCGAGCAAATGTTCTTTTTGTGCTGTTAATGCTCTGCTCTCTATGCAAAACAACTGTGATGTGCACCATATGCTAGCGTTTTGAACATGGGCTGATTTCTGTCTCTTGGGTACCAAAGCAGCTGATACCTGGTACTAATCTTCATGCTCTTGTGAATTTCGCACAACTTTAGACAATAAAACCATAGACTGAAGTTAGCCACTGTTCTAATATAATTAGCAAACTTGAACTCACTCACACTGCACCGTGAACAAATAGGTTGATGCGGAACACCCGCAGAAGCATAACTAAGTCAATGAAAGGCTCCTTAGCCTTTTTGGACTGCGTTTCAACGCAACACAAACTATTTTAAAAGCGGTTTTCCTTTTCATTAGGTGTCATTACTTAATAGGGGTCCAAAAATAGAATAGGAATAGTGAATAGTGAATGAATAATGAATATTCATGTTCACACTCAGCATTAACCAAACAGGGAAGTGTTCTGCTCTCCGTTTTGACCAACGTCTGGCCGTTTTTCCGAAGTAACCTATAGCGGACGTCCAAACAAAATCATAAAGAACAGCTAATTCAAAATGGAGCTACATTGTGTCATCTTAGCATTGCGTGGTAATTGGAGCGGTTGAGGTGAAGATACAAAATCTATCTGTCGGATGCGTTTGGCTTTTTTTCAGAAGGAAGGAATTTTTTTTAATTATCTAAGCAGTGAATTTCTTTGAAAGCCATTGCAGCTGCTTCGGTTAACAGTTTAGTTTTACTGAGAGTCATCAACAGCCTGCCGCAGGTTAGAGACCTGTTATCTTCAATTTCACAATGGTACTCCTAAGTTACCGTGACTTGGTTAATGAGCATACACGATAACCGCAGGCCACTGCGACTGATTGTCCTAAAGCGAAGAGTGCCACCCTACCGCTTACGGCTTTTTCACGCACACGAGGCGTATATGCATAAAAGGTAATTGTACCGTTAACAAAGATATCAAAATGAGTGAGAAATTTGCAGCCGCATGTACACAAACTGTACTGAAGTTTCGTGTTACGTCGCTTTGCTTAAACATAAAATCTCACAGACATACTGACTTGGCTTTGTATCTTGGTGTCTCATCATTGCACAACAACGACACACTTTGCAGATGGCTGAGTAGATCACACAACTGGATCCCTAGTGACTCTAGTCGTTCGTTCGTTGCTTTGGCAGTTTCTTCGTCTACATTTACCTGAATAAACACGTTGAGTAATGGAACGGACGCTTGAACTTCGTTGTAAACCACTAATGAGCGGTACTTCCGTTGCAGAGTGCGGCGGTCCACGTATGTCGGCCTCACCACTGTAGTAATGAAAATTAGAACGCGTTGTCATCTGTTCAAACTCAGTCTGTTTCCACTCCCCTGCTCGAATGCACATGAGAAGATGAGTCATGGAAGAGACAGTGGGTTGCAACAGTCTTTGATTCAACGCATCTTGTCCTTTTTTTCCTCTTATGGTCCTTTTTGTTCTTACTGAACGGAAAGTTAGACTTTCTTTAGGGTTGTCATCACACACTGCACAGACACCTTTATGTTTCAGCTTGCTGCCAATGGTTGGTCGTGATATGGTACGCATTCTTTCAGCCATTGCGTTTGAACGGTTGTAGCATCGAAAGAAGTCATCCACTTTAAAATCACCAGATTCATCAAAGAACTCCGGTCTATTGGGGCTGGGAAGATCAAAACTACTACCAAGAGGACAAGGCTTCTTGAATCGAACCGGTAATTGCGGTCTTAGCTTACTTAACAAGCGGTGGGATTCCTTTTCTCTGAGACTGGCCGAAATGGTTTTTGTCGAGTACAGACGATTCACAAGTTCATTTACATTAGCCTCGCCAACTGATGCTTCGATTGGTCTGTACCGGCCCCATGTGCTGATTCGCGAGTTCATTTTCATTTGATAATATGGACTTTCTCTTAGCCACCTCTGGGATTCTTCTTCCAAAATAGCCGCTCCTTTTGGACAATAGCAGATGCATGTGGAAGAGGATTGAACGCCTAGAAGGGATTTATCGTCGATGGAGAATGGTATCCTCGTCGAGGATGAAAATAGCGGAGGGGATGTAATTATTGAGATTTCTTTTTCTTTTAGCTCAGTGCCACCGAGTTCGGTGTACTCAGTTCTAACGCTTGATGGGCTTTCAATATGATGCTGTGCCTTCTGTTGTTGCGCTCGAGACTCATCGGGGCTACGAAGCGATTTGTCTCTTTTGGTTGCCAATGGATGAGGTTGTGTTTTTCCACTGGGAGGAAGATGCGATTGAAGTGAAGCGTAGGTGGGCCTGCAAAGTCTTTCTACAAGCAGCTTCTCAGTAACACGATCAATTTTTCGGTTAACATTCTGTTTTGCATGGTAAAGATGGATAGGTATCGATTTGACGAAATTAGTTGCCATAGAATTGGTTCCATTACATGGACTGGGGACAAGCAGGACTAAATTTATAATGAACCGAATGATAATCGGTCGACCTTGGTTAAGGCCACGCCTTAGGTATTAACAAATGACCTTCTGTAGAGTGAGTTCCTTTGTGTTCAATGGCCATTTGTCATACCACGTGAGTATGAGAAGCAATGAGGCCAATCGAAGTTCAATGAATGTTTTGCAAGTTATTACGAAAGATGTTGAACCCAGCAGTCTGCAACATTTCTTCACACGACATTGATACACTTGAAGCTCCGCAACATACAGCAACCAAGGTCGTGAGGGCATATTGTAACGCCCCTAACAACACAGACTGCTAGACTTGGGGTTGTACAGCCTTGAATATTTGCATCAGGAAAGAGACCTGCTCCAGTTTTACCTACTACTGACGAACCCAAATTACACATGTCGCGATGTGTCGCAGCTCAGTCAAAGTGCTAACCTACGTGGCCACTAGGTAGAAATTTTGTCACATACTACAATCAAATTGAATGCCATTAACAAATCCTCTTCCTTCACGTGTCCTGAGCATGGAGCACCTTTCCAGCTCAAGTCCCTTTTGCCCCAACTGTAATGCTTTTCAAAAATTGTCTTGACGCTACAATATCCGACTTGAACCATAAGATTCAATCCGTTTCACTCGGAGCCGAAATAACAGACTAAACTACATGCTCAACAGCCCACTCCACAATGTTGTCATGGGGAAACCTACAGCAGGGTTCATTAGACTGGCTAGGTGAGTCACTGAAAAGCCGAATTTCTCCTTTTTACATATTATATTTTACCTTTGGTTTCATAATACCCAATCTGGTCATGCTGTGGGACTTGGAAAGCAATCGAATTTTACCCGTTACAAATCAGTTTTCGTTAACCAACTCTTAATTTAGTGAAACGGGACAGGACCCCGATCTATTTCAAAAATAAGCACAGTTTGCGTCATCTCACTCTCAAGAGCTCTCGGTGTCCGACATCTATGCAATTTCCCAATCAAACGTCGCCATGGTTCAAACTGGCCTCCTTCTAATATCATGAAGCAGTTTCACAATACAGTCATTAAAACCCGCATACAGCGACCGGCGCAATCATGCTGATACGAAGGTTTCCTTGAACAGCCGATCCTGCCAGCCGATAGTTTGAGCGTGTACGCATATTGATGGTGTCATTAACTCTCGTGAACACGCATACACTTAGCAGCATTTTATCAGAGGATTGCAAGACTATAAGTCGCTAAAAATGTGAGCAGAACCGCGTGTGGATGCTGAAAGGCAACAATGGATCCGCTGAAACGAGGTCCAACTAAACATAGGCTATCATCCATGGTCTCACGTGTCAGCCCAGCCTGCTACTTGGGTTGTAACTGTTTCGTCAGTGGACGAGGTGACTTCCACCATGCATTATTTGGTCGCGTACAGTCTACTTGATTTAGTCATCGCTCTATAATCGCGGAGCAGGTGGCTTTTGAATTGGTCTCGAATTGTACCCCTTGACTGTCAAACATTTGCCCGAGATATCTGAAAAAACTGGGCTTGAGAAGCGTTCACTCCAGAACTGTCTGTGATCGAATGCGGTATAAACGAACTGTAGTGAACATGAAAAAGCACTCAGGAACTCATCCCGTCTGGTGATGAATTGTTTGTAATATGGAAGCAAGCGGAGATGAGTTTGGGAATCCAGTGAGAGTTGATCGGCCAGCACATACCAGCCCGCGTTAAAGAATCAAACTATTCCGTCAATATGATTACCCCGTGGAGTGAAACTCACTTCCACTGACTGAAAACCAGTCGCGGAATAGTGAGCCATCTTACCCGCCTAAATTAGCAAGTGTCGACTACCAATAAATAAACTTAACCAATCGTGCAGAGATACACTCTCGGTCTACCGAGTTCTGGTCTTTTGCATTCCTTCGGCTGGCTGGAGGCATCCACCGATTTGACAAAAAGCGTTGCCCATCGTGACCCGGTAGCCAAAGGGGTAGTAGTGTGGGCTGCTATTCCAATGGTCGTGGGTTCAAATCCTGCTGTCTCCACCTGATGAGATGAAATTACATCGAAACGCGTCGTGGCTGTGCAGTGTCTTCGGGTGGGCAATACCCAATTTTCATCTACTTTGAATACGGTCCTGTTTATGTTATACGAGCGGCCATCGAGATGTGGAACACCCGCTGGTACTGGGTAAAGCGGTCGAGTTTTGCGTACATTGAGGTACACCATCTACCTAGGTGCTGATTTGGCAGTGGTTGCCCACGGCTATTCCAAAATTTATCTGTTCTAGTGACTGATAACATTCACAGGATACTTAGACTTAGAAATAAACAACCATTGGATGGAGTTGTGCGGCCCAAAATCCCACCAGCATCCTTCAAAACCAGCAAAAATCGGAAGGAATAATTCCGATATGCGTGGTGATAGGAGCTAGGATTGTTTCTGGGCCAGTGCTAGCTCCTACAGCACACACAACGTTCAGGTGCTTGGGCCTTGGTACCAAACTTCGATCTTGTGACTGACGGGAGGACCTTCTGTTTCGTCTCCATCAGTAGCGAGTTGTCGTCCCCTGACACTAGTAGTAGACTTAAAAGTATCTGATCAGAAGGTTGTTGCTAACACAGGTATAGAGCTCAAGCGGAACTAACGTAGCAAAAAGAAATGAACTTCAATTCGAAGGCAACTGTTTATGGTATAAATGAATCCCGGCTGTAACGCTCCAATATAGATGTACTGCTCTGGGTTTTGACGAGGGACACGGGAAACAGTGAAAACTTATCTTTTCAACTTACCCTCTCCGTATTTGAGATAGGCTCCTGGCGACTACCTAGCAGGCTCACCGAACCCGCTCGGCTGTGTGGGACACGGTCGTATATACTGCAGTGCAGTGTGGATGATAACGGTGAATTTGTGTCCACTTGCATCTGTAGCCTACGTAATAAAGTTTTCGTTCAATATGCACCAGTTTATTTTCATGCAATCAATATGGTCACATCACGGTTCCATGACTTACAGCCAATTCCACACAATTTGTGCAAGTGTTAATTCGTAGCAACTATAGAAGTATCAATACCTCCGCGTTATATGTCAGTATCAATTGCTTTTTCCTCATTCAACAGTGGACACTTAAGCATTTTGTTTGCCTGGACGCAGTACGCATGAGAAAGTGCAACATTTCGCAGCAGCAGCAAAAACAACAGCGACAAAAGCAGCATCAGGAGAAGGACATTAGTCTACAATGCACTATGCATATGCCACTCTAGCGTGTGGGACATGACGTCACACTACCGTGCAGTTGGAATCTGCCGCAGTCACTTTGGACGAAGCGCCTTACATTGCGGTATATATGTTTCGAACGATACAAGCGTTAAGCTGTGGACAGTCAGATCGATCTTACTTGTTAGTTTATGGAGCTTCTATTACTGATGTACTACTTTTCTGAACGTCTCATCTACTTTGAAACGAGAGCATGTAATTGGTGGTTTGCGAAAAGCTTTACTGTTAGCCTGCCATCAGCCAAAATTTTGCGATCAATACATTGGTCTCAATCATTGCAACATGGATTCAGTTCATGTAGGTGTAGTGGCCAGGTAAAAGGTGGGTCACTGAATAACGGTTGACTCCAAGCGAGGAGCTCGGTATATGAAACAGCCGCTTTGCTGTATACAGTGTTCAAGCTTGGTCCAGTATCCAAACCGATGGAATGCGGGAAAATAGGTGGTAGCAATACCGGGGCTTGGGACGCAGCCTTTTTGTAAACCAAAGACAACATCGCAAAGGTATGACATGCCCCATACATCTGCCCCCAGATCAATTGTAATCCATTATTCGACCGTTTTGGAACCGAGTACCGTTATCCTGCATTACTGTTCATGTTTATTGTGTACAACTAGCACATTGTCATCTCGGATGAGATTAATCTGGCGGCTGTCTCAAACATTTCTCTTCTTTCTCAAAATTGAAGATATTCAGCAATCCCCATCTATGGTGAAAAAGAGAATATCATCTACATAACGCTTGTAAAGCTTGGCTTCACATATGCAAGCAGCAACTTTCCTTTCAATCATGCCCAAAAAGATATCTGCCAGAACTGGTCCCAAAGGACTACCCATAGCGACTACCCATATCGACAGCTAAAACCGACAGGGACGGAAACACCAAGGATGAGGGGTGCGCCGAAGTTGTACAAGGCGGGAATTCCACTACATCCAATAAGGTGTATGAATAACTCACCTTACCACAAAGTAGCCCTGTGGTTGACAAAGCTCTTAGAACCCGTGCGTAAGCTCCTGAGCACGCATTGTTTGAAAAACTCCTTTGAATTTGCGAATATACTGGAACAAACAAGACTCTATGCGGAGCTCATGTATTCCATAGACGTGTAATCGCTGTTCACGAATGTGCCCCTACGTGAAACGGTCGAGGACCTATGCCGATTTCTTTTGAGTCGGACCCTCCCTTTGGGCCTTCCTCTGGAGTTCCTGCGAGACTTGATATTGTTGTGCTTTGAGAATGTGCGATTCCAGTTTGAAGGGACGGCATACAAACAGATTGACGGCGTCGCTAAGGGGAATCCCCATCTAGGCGGGGCTGCTGGCGAACGGTGTATTCACACGCGCGCGACTACACAGTAGCTGGTTAGAAGAACACAGTAGAAGATATGAAGTCCTACTGTTTCACAAAAGGCAGCATTTGGTTTGTCTGAAGTGAACCACCAAATCTTCATATGTACCCGCATACAGCCATACAAGCATAGGTATGTACTTATCTTGGAAGCTGATCTTACACAAAAGCAGTCATGCTGTCTAATGATCCAGCTCAACGGACGCATTTATAATCGCAACAAACAACTGAAACGCCAGATGGTAACATTAGGGCACGGCGGTTTCATAGAATGAGCTGCAAGCCTCTTTTCTTCTATGAAATAGTCTAGTTACATGGACACAAACTACGAACGGAATTACTTATTGCGGCAAACATCAACGAATGCCT